ACAAGCTTGTTTAAAGGCAAAAATTCCTTGATATTGATTTAAAAAAAAAAAAAAAAAAAGGTTTTAATGCAATTGGCAGATTACAGTGCATCACAAAAGTGAGTACACCCCTCACATTCCTGCAAGTATTTAAGTATATCTTTTCATGGGACAACACTGACAACATATAACTCTATATACAACCATTAATGTCTAACCCCGCTATTTCTATAACTGAAGCGCTATGTCTATGGGAAAATAATTTGTCCAAAGTTCTTGAAGGGTTTAATATTTATCTTCCATAAAAAGAAAAGGACATTTCTTAAATAAATAAAAAAAACAAGATAGTCAAAAACAGAAAAGTCAGTTGGATACTGTAAGTCAGTTCCATAACAAACTCTCAAGAATCTGGCTTCTAAAATGTGGCAGCTGTAGATATCATTAACTTTATTTCCAACCAGCCTCTCAAACATGAATGAGGTGTAACAGATATGAGTGGGTTGAAAAAAGAAACAGTGATGAGGTGCTTGTATCATTTAACAGACAAAACGAGTTTGGAAAATTGGTCCGATGTTGTTTGACTTCTATCAGACGAGCACTGATAAAAACTTGCCTCACTGTCCTGTGTGATCTGCACCTCTTCGCCTTGTGGCACCTGGGCGATGTGCAGCTGTCCCTGTGGAATCTGAGACACAAGAGGAAAGGGACACAAGTTTTTTTTTATTTAAAATGCATGATTTTTCTGACAAAGTGTGGAGCCAAAGCCATTAAAACTGGCTTTTAATGAACTCAGTGACTTCGGGATGCAAGTTCAAATAAATGAGAATAATCAGAAGGAGTTACGTGCCAAACAAACACCACCTTAAAATTCAGAAATGTTCAAATAAAGATCACACAATGTGCCTATATAAAGAAATTAAAGAACAGATTAGAATAAAATCACTGCAGCATTTGTAAGGCTTTAGGGTTCTACTAAGCATAAAGCAGCGGTGAACCTTCCTAGGAGTGGCTGGGCACATCAGTTAGTCGTCCAGGAGATGACGAATAACATCTCAACAGCTCTGCAGGGCTTAGTTGGCTCAGTTAAGGTCAAATTTTAAGATCCAACAATAAAAAAAAATAAAAAAAAGAGAGAGTGGAAAATGGCCATGGGAGAGTTCCAAGGCTGTTGTAAAACTAATACAGCATTTGAAAACAAGATCCTACAATCGAATCTGGTGGTGGTAGCATGACGGTCTGGGGCCGATTTGATGCTTTATTACAGGGGTGTCCAAAATCGGTCATCGAGGGCCGGCATCCTGCATGTTTTAGTTCTCTCCCTGGTTTTACACACCTGCCTCAAATGAAGGCTCATTAGAGGCCTAAGGAGAACATTGAGGGAGAGAACTGAAACATGCAGGATGCCGGCCCTCAAGGACCGACTTTGGACACCATGACTTGATGTAGGTAACCATGAACTCTGCTCTCTACTACAAAATACTGAGGAAGAATCTACAGCCATCAGTTTACAACCTCATGCTTAAACATTAATTATATTCCATAATGGCACAAAATGCAGCATTGGTCTCGAATAACAGCATCTGCTTCATTTCAACATACAACTCATTTACCAGACAGTCATTTCATTTAATCTACAAATCGTTTCTGAAGCATGATCCTGCTCAGTCATTTGAAGTTTTAGATGTCTTTCATTGCTTCTTTAGCTCTTACAGGAAGAAAACAAATTCCAGAGTTACTCTTTGTGGGAGAACTGCTCACAACAAGTTTTCTCATAAGGTGTTTAATCTCGCATCTATTGTTGTAGCTCAAGGGATGTTTTAAATTGAATACTTTAGATGATTTCAGGACACTGGGAATTTAGTTTATTTACTTTTTCTTTAACAGCCCACCCATATGTCGCAGTGGGCCTCAATGTGACCTTTGGCCACGGCATGTGTTAATGGCCAATCCATCATTCAGCATCCATTAGTCTTTTATTAATTTATATGTTGGTCAATATTTCCCCAGTGTCACTGTAGTGGGTGGTATGAACTATCCCAGGCCTGCTCTGTGGGACTCCTAAATTAAACTGAAACCCAGGATGTGGGGGACAAATTTTAGAAACTAATATGTAGAGATAAAAAATGAGGTCTTGTAATTAAGAAAATGCTTTCCGAAGGATTTACAGAAAGTGAAAAATGAAACATTTGATACGCACCACCTGAACCTGTCCATCCTCACCAATACGATGGAACTGGACCTGTTGATTGGCCAGTGTGTAATGCAGGGTCTGCTGGGTGGCGGTCTCTATTTGAGCAGCTTCATCTGAGATGCCTTCCTCTGTACAAAACAACAAAAAGATGAGTCAGTGTGGAACTTCGGAGCACGCTGGGTGAGCAAGTTCAGTAACCCAGGACAATTATATAGAATCAAATATGAAAGATCTGTAGCCGGAAGGCGTCATAAAATTACAAGATTCCTAAGCTCTCTGGTTGCTGACAGTTCAAGATTTAAACATATCCATGTTCTAGCGACAACATCCTCAGGTTAGTGATGCACTGATAAATAGATTGGTTTTCACTTGATCCGCAAGTGTTTCTATGAATCAAAACTAAGAACTTTTAAACTTTTCAGTCTATAAACATCAACCTCCTGCATAATCCTTACATTCAAGTTTAACAAAAAAACAATCTGACAAATGTCAGGGACACATTCCTTGGATCATAAATGACAATATTTCTGTTATTCTATAATTTTCTGCTAGATTCAAAATTACTACATCTATCAAAGGACTTCAATACTGGCCAAATAAAGCCTGCAAGTCATCCTGAAAAATAAAAATAAAAAAACATTTAGGCAATAAAAGCCAATTTAAATAAAAAAAGAAAAAGATGATCATTGCTACCAAGTGAAGCCAGACTACCTTTCTGTAATATAGTCATTTGTTTTATTTTCCATACACGTCACTACATAATACAGACATTTTGAAGATTAACACTCCCTCTTATCATTCATTATTACAGATGTGTGGTGAATTATATAAAAAAATATGTTTCTCAGTACTTTAGCTGATGAGGGATGGGAGCCCAGACGGCTAATAAAAAAGCTAAAGAGCTTGTTTCACACAAATGAAAATCCTCTTTTTCAGTTCATTAGGATGGAATTTGAGTCGAAACTGAATGATTTGTTTGGTCCCTGTATGTGTGCTGCATCTTGACGGATGTTGCATGTTGAACTAGCATTTGTGTTGAACACACTAGGGTGTGCATGGCTTGAAAAGGCAGGGCCTGACAATCCGCCCCTACGGTAGTATGGGCTCACAGGATATTAGGCTTTCCTCCGTAGGCCTGCTTTTCTCTGGTCAGAGGTGAGAGGTGATAACTCACAGAAAGTGGGAAGTACAGAATGCTTTGTGTATGGACTCTAAACAGCTGCAGTGTTACACTAGATAGCTACACATTGGTTCCGGTTGCATAAATGCGTTTATACAGGAGATAAAATAAGATGTATTTGAATTCACAACCTGTGAAGGTGTTGATCGCATTCAAGTTGTGCTGACAGCAGGAGATGAATGGCTTTCAAAATATAATAAATATATATTTGCACCAGTGGAACTAACAAAACAAGCTGTGAGTTTTTTTTTCATATAAACAGAATCTGGATTTAATTTTTCTGCAACTTGTACATCTGCACACTTTCCCTTTTCAAGACGTCACACTTTCC